ACTTCATGCGGGAGAAGGTGAGAAGAAGAACACCGTGTGTTATTTAGTAGAAATATTATTACAGTTAAAATCTAGAGGTTCATCACATCGATTTCACAAGTCCATGCAATAACTTGTCACCAAATATGAAACTCTAACTCAGATAGTCTGATCATATAAATAACTGTACGTAAGTTTGGTTGGAAAAAAAGTTATTCCGGTCAGATTACTTATTTTGGGATTAGTTGTTTCAAAATTATTATCGCACTCTTAACATATGATAAAAAATATTACTATAATTCCGGAATAAGTGGTCTTGAGGGTATTTATGGTCTTTTGGAATAACGGCGGGGTATTTTTGATCCTAAAATATAACAAAGGGTATAAGTGGTCTATTTTATATAGTTTAGAAATAATTTTAATCATTTTCAAAATAAATAAGCTAAAGCATCACTTATTTTGAAATAGATATTGCGAGCTATTCTCGATTAATTAATACATGTTTTTTCACAACCTATAGCAAGCTGAACTCATGGAGACTTGGTCTTCTCTTTTCCAAAAGTATTCTCATAATCCAATTTTAATTTATTGGTGCACTCGTTTTGACATGCCAAAATGTTGACAGTTCACAACAAAGAATTAGTAGTATGGATATAATATACTTCAACTACGTACCACTATTCTATAAACAATTCTAAGTGATTGGCACGTTTCTTTTCCATATTACTGAAGAATTGATGAGGACCTAATTAATTGCTCCAATATTATTTCAGAATACTAAATAATCAAGATGAAGTGAAGTATTTTCAAACAAATCAGAGAGGAATTGAATCCCTAAAATTTGATAAATTTTAATTTTAGTGCTTATTGATTAAGAATATCTTTCAGTTACCTGAAATGTGTAATTGTGCAATTTTGATCTCTTTACTTATAATATTCAAAAAAAATTCAGAATTATTAACCACTCCACAATTCAGTTATCAATGTGTTATGTTAAACTTATATTTATTATTCTATATTTTAGGATAAAACAACAACATATTGAGTATAATAACAAGTGGGGTATGGGAAATAATAGAATATATGCATATCTTAAGTCTACATTTAAAAAAATTCCAAACACATAACATATATTATCATATCTTACTAAAAGTGGGAAGCTCCAAAGTTGGATTACCATTTTATTCCTAGACTAAATTAAACATCTAATTAATTAAATAATATTATTTTAATTATATTTTGAATTGTAAGTTATTTATTAGAAAGGGAATGTGGAAGAACAAGAGGCAATTAGGATTTCTAGAATTTTAAATAAGTACATGAATCAAAGTTTTCTCCCTTTTAATCTTACATTAAAGAATATGAAGAGTTGTAGCTAAATCAATATATACCACTATCAAATACAAATTTTTCATCTTGAGTTCTTCCACTTGCTGAAATTTAATGGATTACCGCGTGAGCAGATACCTTCAAGCGAATCCACAAGTTAGACGAACCTTCAAGCAAATTCACAAGATAGACAACAACTATGGTCTTCTACAGTGATCCCACATTCTCATCTGAACTCTCTCAATACTTGGGTCGGCAAGTATTGTATAGAAAACTTATACTTTCTAGGGTTAGAAGAATCCCTAATTATACAGATCTCTTCCCATTCCAAAGAGGAGAACCAGAAACACAAGTTTTTTTCTTTTTGACCAAACATTACACGTTAGGTTTCTCTTTAAAGAAAACCAACGTATGTCTCCCTTTTTTCCCCCTAGAAATAGAATTTGAGTTTTAGTTAAATATGGGTATTGTAGGGACCACTGAATTAATTACTAAGGCTTCCTATTATGGAAATAATTCTAAATAATTAATTTGAATTATTTTTACCATAATAAATTACAAATCATTCTACTAGAAATTCGTAATTGCACTCCTCTATTTATATTTCAAAATTCTCCATTAAACACTTATGTGATTCCCCATTTTAAGATTATAGATACTAATCAATAAATCAAATTACTTACGAATTTAATGCAATGATTAATTTCCTTTAGAGCACTGCTTAACTTATTTCATATGTCGGATTCATAAATCCACTTGCAATCAATCTCTATATCGAGACATGGATTCTATCAACTAACTTATTATTTCACCAATATATCTTATTATCATCCCATCTACTAGGCATATTGACCCATCATAGAATCTCACCTTTTAATAAATCAAAACGATAATTTATATACAGATCATAATAGTTATATTAGGATTAAGAGAATAAGTACATTTAACAGTATGCTTTTGTCAGTCAGTCTAAAACTACTATCTTTACTCGGTCCCGTTCAATACATACAAAATGCACTAGCACAAGAAGTTGAAACTATATCGTTCCCATAATCAAGATAAATTATATATAATCTTATGCTACAATCGTACCGATGACATGTCCAATTTCCATCCTAGATTGTGAACAAAAAACTTTATACTTATAAGAACCGATGATTTAATCATTTGTGTATAAGCTAAAATTTGATACACTAAATTATCTACTATATAAGTAAACAGACACCATAAACGAATATATGATCTATTAAAACTGAATAAATAATTATTCTGTAATAAATATTATATCTAAACATATGGTTAATAGTATATATATCCCAACAGAGATATCTGCTTAAACAAAAATTGGCGTAAGTTGCTACCATTCTCACTTTATGGAATTTCATTAAATATGTTATTCCTCTTGCATAAGTTGCTACCATCATAATATATTCTCTGAATATATTATATGTGGTGTCGATCTTCATCTACAACAAAAACTCTAATGATATTAACGAAAGGAAAAATAAAAAAATCGTTCAATAAATTAGACTACATACAACGTAACAAAAGTTCTAATGAAATTAACAAAAGAAAAAAAAATTCTTAAAAATCATCAACGAAAAGCTATTCCAACAATAGAATACATAAAGCTAAAAGGAACTTTAACAATTCTGACATCTTAAGCATATTGACGCAAACATTTTAATGTCATTTCTCTCCAAAGCAAGAAAGGAAGGCATCGAATATTTTAATTTAATGTAAAATTGAATAATTAGGGGCTAGGTATATGAAATGATTGTAAGTTATGAACATTATTAATACTAATTAAAAGTATAATTTATGAAGATAAAAAAGTGTGAGTTATAAAAATGACTTTTAAAAATAATACTTATAATTGAGAAAGAATCAAAAAAAAGGAGAAAAAAGAAAAATGATAATAGAGAACACCACATCACATCACCGTTTTGTCATTCTCTTATATATATACTAGATAACTATTGCCCGAGCTAAGCACGGGCCCAACGTGTAATCTTATTCATGATCTAAAATTGATTAATGTAAATGAGACAATTACATACAGACACCATTATAAAAATAAAAATACTATTATCTTGAACATAATATATATTTTGTAATATAGTAGTCAAACGTGTTATCTATATATTTTGTGAATACCATTCTATTGAATATTGTTTTTAAAGTGAAATATTTACGTCGTTGAACATTATACATATGAGAGTACTAATTACATTTATATATACTATTTATAAATCAACAGATATATGCTTTTGATCAAAATTATCTGTTACATTTGAAAATGAGGATGAAATATCAATATTCTAATAATTCTAGAGAGTCGAGGTTCAATCAATTCAAACAAAAATAACATTTATTTTGTCTTTCCATTAAATATCAGCCTCAAATGTACATAAAAAATGACCAAGTACAATCTCAAATTATTTGAGGTCAATTATGTCTTATTCATACTAAAGTTTTTTCAATAATTTTTTTTTTTAGAAGCAACTTCCGATTTTTAGCGCAGAGTTCTGTTGATTATAGCTACAAATACTACTACTACAATTCAAATATTAACTCTAAAGTAACTAAATGAAATTAATTCAAATATTACCTCTAAAGTAACCAAATTATATTTTCATGAACTCAGTGCTTCTCAGAAAAGAAATTCTCAGAAATGTCTAACTTCCATCATAAAAATGAATCGAGATATATAATTTTTCTTATAATAAAAAAAATAGACAAGAGACTGCTTAAGAAGCAAAGATCAGTTGCACCTATACTATCAATACATGTATTTGATTGGATATGTGCATTTGGGCACACCAACAATTTCACTTCTTGTATTTACAGTACACATGAATTCAGTTCCTCCAGATTCTTCGAAAGAAGAGGAGGCCAACAACATACCCAGTGAGAAGGGTAAAATGTAAGCAAACCTTACTACTAACTCGTGAAAAAAAAGATTATGTCATATTTGTGTAAGTATGAGTCTTCACATCAAAGGGCATCTCCTAAAGCTTGCAGAGTTATATCCGTTAGTAATTTTGAAATCATGTAAAACAGAATTCACTGGCATTATCTCAATGCAATTCAAATGACCCAACGACATATATAATCTGTCACTAAGTTGAATGTAGTTAGTTGCTATACTTCCTATGATATCAAAGAGATGAGGCCATGTTGGTTAAGGAACAAATTCAAATAGCAAGTGTATGGAGCGTGAATCCATACATTAACCCTCATTATCAACTCAACTAATTTAAATAATAAAATCAAATTCGGAGAAGTAAAATAATTAGCTTATAGTTGTAGAGCATCAAAGAGAGACTACAGTTATTTTAGACGTATTATCAAGAATCTTTGTTGCATCCGTTGCTCATTTGATGTATCTTTTATAATATCATTTGAAAAATCTAGATTGGAGTTTAAAATGTATCAAAACTTTTAATAAGTGTTGCCCCTTAAACATAATAATGACAAATTTCTACTAAGTTTAAAAGTATGAATAAAATTGGTTCATGGGTTTCTGCATTATATTCTTAAAATGCATCCATGTTAATTTCTCTCTTTTCCTTCGCCAATGAGACAATATTTTAAAGTTGAAATCACTTTTTAAAATATAGATAACATAAAACGAAATCATTTTTCATTGGTATCTTCTCTATAGTTTCTAATTGTTAGCTATTCGATCATCCAACAAAGCTTCCTATACTTATATAGGAAGACACATTAGAAAATATTCTATACCATGTAATACACACAAACAAAGCTTGTAAACAATCCTTAAAATAAACTATATCAAAAAATTTGTAATAGTTAACTCACCTCTGTGTATTACCTAAATATGTGGATTATTGGAGTGTTAAAATTACTCTTCTATTTTAATCATACTCGCGAGACCCAAAATTGGAGAAATTAAAGTCACGACGAAGATGATCAATAAAGAAAGAAGCAAAGAACCGACCAATGACGAAGGTTGAAGAGCTCATTGGCGTCAAGGCTTGGCCATATTACTACCATCCTCTGTTGTGAACTCTTTTCTTCATTGAAGAAAGCCGACACTGTCAAATACCACATCTAACACACATTTTCACTGTTTTTGCTGGAACTAAACTCAAGTGGACCTGTCACACACTTCTCGTTGAAAACATTTGATGATATCTCTGTCAACTGTTTCCTCTTCTGTTGCATCAAATGTGCCAAAATTTCCTTCAAATGATTAATACAGTAATAGAGATTACATCTATACAACACATATATCTACACCTATAGATATTATTAGGCAAGAACTTCAAAAATCAAACCAACACTCACCGGAGTAAGCCTGGATCTTGGAGAATGTAAGAGAGCCAGATGACAAAACTGCAGAAGAACAGAAAACAAAATAGATATTTTATGCTAATCTGACCGTCAAAAAATTATTCTTAATCATTGCCACTGAATCAGAGAGAAAAGGATTCAACCTTTTCTGAATAAACTATCTTTATCTGTGCTTTTTAATTACCGACAAACTGAGGTCGAAAAGACTGTCAACTTATTTTTTTAATTAATATAGTAATCTATTCTTAGCAACAACTTGATACAATGATATCCTTAAGGTTTAAAACTGTGGCTAGCTATCTATGAATTTCTCCTTGAACTTGTAATGAGTTTGTGATATGGCTTTCTAGATTCATGAAATAAACTGTTGCTTTTAACAAAAAGAAACTTCAACTAAAGTTTGTTGATAATCCTGGAACTCACATTTCATTCTATCCGAAGTAGGCCCCTTTATCTGTGCGAAGATGCCACTTGGTCCCACATATTTCACACACAATATGTTGGTTTCTATGTGGACACTCAAACAACTTCCTCTTCTCAAGTAATCCTTTCCATAGTAGCTAGATTGGCACTCATCTACATGAAATACAAATGACCTTTGTTTATGCAAAATATCAAGAGTAAAATATTTTAAGCACATTCTAATTTATGGGCGTCCTAGAGCAAAGTGCTTGTATGCTAATGAACAAAAAAGAAAGTTCTTTTTGTTAAATTTGAAAGAAGGGGAGGATAGAAAAGAAAGTCTGCAAGCATTTCGAGAAAACGGACATGCAAAGAAGTTCAATTTATTAGTGGTTATATCTTCAACTCAATGAAGAATGAAAAATCTGAACATAGAACTCCAAAATAATGACCAGCAAAATTCTTTTCCCTTAGTTCCATAATCCATTATCCAAGATATATTATTTTGAAGTCTAAGACAAAATATTGAATTCAAGAATGCTTAAAAAAATAAAATTATGTCAAGTATATGAAACCCTTTTGATAAAGTTGAACAAACTTACCGAACTTCAGCTAGTAATCTTAGTTTCCTCGCGTTTAAATCCTCCAATTTATGCCTTGTGCCATCAGTTTCTTGTAGCAGATTATTGCAGCAGATTGACTGTATTATGTTAATATTTTGTTCCTAGTGACTTCCAATAGCAAACTGTATAAATGTAGGGGTAATTTAGGATAGTATGTCATCAAAAGATATTGCTAGCTTCCAGGAACGACATACACAAAGAGTTTTAAATTTGATGTGGCTACAATAAACAGTACATCAAACGTCAATGAGCATGTTGGTGTTGCCTGTGGGTTCTGTATTTAATTTTTCAGAGGTGTGTTAGTGTAGATAGCTAACACAAAGTAGGTCAGGGTTCATTCAACCAACTGAAACAGAAATTTGAACCTCGATGGAGCAATATGAACATTTAATAAATCACGAGAAAGAACTATTGAAAACCCAAAGCTATTAAAGAATTGATGCGCACGTCGGAGCAAGTTCTCCGAGGCTCTCTAACTCTTCTACCAGAAATTTCAAGAATATAAGACCGTCTCTGTCTGCTTTTCATACATTCTAGCGTTATTGGCGGTGAAGCAGGAAATATGGTCCATGAAATATAAAATGCCTTTGGCAATGTTTTGTAATAGTTTCTCAAGGATATAACACTGATCATCAATTGTATTGCAATTTTTCAGATCGTTTTGTCTCTTTATTTAGCATCTTGACAAACCATAAATGAGATGGTAAACCAAAAAGTATATCGGAAGAACACTATTAGAGGTGCTAAACTGATGGATGTTTCCCAGACATCTATGCCTTTATTAACTTAAATGTCTTAGTGTTCTAAGGTAGTATAAGTATGTTCTACCATTTCAAGCTACTATTTCAACCTTGATTTTTTATTTACTTTCTTCAAAATAAAGCGTAAATCACAATGAGAACTTCATGTAATATGAACATTATTGCACTACACTCAATTGAAAGAAGGGGAGGATAGAAAAGAAAGTCTGCAAGCATTTCGAGAAGACGGACATGCAAAGAAGTTCAATTTATTAGTGATTATATCTTCAACTCAATGAAGAATGAAAAATCTGAACATACAACTTACCTTAACTGTTACTTTAATCAGAATCTTAATTGATTTGGAATACCCAACAGTAAAAAGGAAGAAGGAATATACCCAATGTCATGAATATTTACCTTAACTGTTACTTTAATCAGGATCTTAATTGATTTGGAATACCCAACAGTTAAAAGGATGAGAACTGAAAGAATAATTTTTTGAAAGCTTTGAGATTGAGAACCATAAGGGCAAAGATTGAGAGAACTGACCTGGAATCGCAACATATGAGAAGATGAGAGCAATCTTTTGAGTCGATTCTCAGTATGACATTTCTGGAACCAAAAGAACTCAAGCCTTTACCATGGGAATAGAGAGTTCTTCGTTTCTGGAACACTCATACTGAGTCGGTCTTAACTATGTGACGACGTAATTACCATTTTTCTTTGTGCAAACTATTTAAGTGTAAAAAGAAGCAGATTTGAGCAAAAATTGAGAGAGAATCGTACCTTAAATTGTAAAAGAGAGCTAAAAGTTTTATTGAAAGTTTTAAGAAGGAGAATTGAAGGAGTTCTCTGTTTTGTTTCGCAGAAGAACTAAAAAATGGGAGAATAGCTTACCGAATTTGGAAGATCTTGTTGAGAAGACAAGAGAACTACAAAAATAAACTTGAAATTGCAGAAATTAGGCTTGGAAGCCAAAAATATGGAGGTTTGAGTTGTATATGTCGGTGAAAGAGAAAGTACAGAAATGGTTACTTCGAGAATTAAGTGGAGTATTTTTATTAGTGTGAAATGACAAGTATACCCTTGGTCGTCCTCGTCATCATGCTTCTATATAATACTAGATAAGGGTGCCCGTGCAAGGCACGGGCATATTGTGGGGATAAAAATAGTTATATAGAAAGACGTGAAAAAAAAAGTGCTAAAAGAAAGAAATATTAATTTGCCCTACGTGGCCATTTTTGATTGGTTTGGTAGTATTTGAGAGCAAAAAAAAAGTGCTAAAAGAAAGAAATATTAATTTGCCCTACGTGGCCATTTTTGATTGGTTTGGTAGTATTTGAGAGCAAAAAAAAAGTGCTAAAAGAAAGAAATATTAATTTGCCCTACGTGGCCATTTTTGATTGGTTTGGTAGTATTTGAGAGCAAAAAAAAAGTGCTAAAAGAAAGAAATATTAATTTGCCCTACGTGGCCATTTTTGATTGGTTTGGTAGTATTTGAGAGCAAAAAAAAAGTGCTAAAAGAAAGAAATATTAATTTGCCCTACGTGGCCATTTTTGATTGGTTTGGTAGTATTTGAGGAGCTCTTTTAAGGAGAAGTATGAAGTATGATGATGATGATGAAGTATGATGATGATGATGACATGCAGTCTGCCACAATAACACGTGTGAAGAAGCAAAAAAAAGTGCTAAAAGAAAGAAATATTAATTTGCCCTACGTGGCCATTTTTGATTGGTTTGGTAGTATTTGAGGAGCTCTTTTAAGGAAGAAAATGACAGGAATACCCTTGGTAGTCCAAGGGAACCACCACTTATATAGTATGATGATGATGATGAAATGACGGAAATACCCTTGGTAGTCCAAGGGAACCACCACTTATATAGTATGATGATGATGATGAAATGACGGAAATACCCTTGGTAGTCCAAGGGAACCACCACTTATATAGTATGATGATGATGATGAAATGACGGAAATACCCTTGGTAGTCCAAGGGAACCACCACTTATATAGTATGATGATGATGATGAAATGACGGAAATACCCTTGGTAGTCCAAGGGAACCACCACTTATATAGTATGATGATGATGATGAAATGACGGAAATACCCTTGGTAGTCCAAGGGAACCACCACTTATATAGTATGATGATGATA